CAGCGCTCCGCAGCCCCTCGGAGGGATGCGTGTATTTGCATGCCTGTCCCCCACCCCGTAGCCGGCTGTCTGCAGCAGCCAGGTGTCCTTGCGCTTTGTCGTGGGGGAAGGAGGGGAGGTTGTCAGCCCGCTGTTGCATTTTGCAATTGCTTCCCTGCATCTCCTCGGGAGTCAGTGTGTGTGTGAGCCAGGGGAAATCTCTGCAACTACGGCAAAAGGGGGAGGGCACGACACAGATCTGCGTCCTCTCTTCTGGGTCCTTCCCTGAGATCCCTTCTCATCCCTAGGTCCTGGAAGGAGTTGGAGAGGCAAGGAAGAAGGTAGGGCCTTCTCCTTGCGGTTGCCGGTTGAAGGGCGCGAGTGTAGCGATCCGTTGTCCAGCCTGGATTCGGGACGATGTCTGAAGGTGAGGAGGAAGGATCTGTGTGCCGTGCGAGCACTACGTGGCAAAGCAGAGCAATACCCCCTCACGGCACCAGCACCCACCTTTAGGAACGCCGGCAGCCCGCTTGGGCTGGGTGGGGAGAGACGTGCTCTACTCTGATCCACCCTCGTGTCGCTAGCAGGAGAGGTGGGACAGCAGTCCCCAAAGCAACCGATATGGCCGCGGAATGGTGCTAGCAGAACGGGATCTCGGGAGTGGGAGAGCAGCGGGGCCGGCATTCTGGGGAAGCGCTGGTACGGATCGTTGGGCGACCTCGTCTGAAGGTCAGGGAGGGAGCCGGGGCCGCACCTGCCACCGCGAGGAGAAACAAGCAGGTCCAGCAGGTGCGGGAGGCAAACTAATCACCCTCGTGATAGAGATGCCGGCCACCGGGGCTCCATAGCCTGTAAAGCTCTCGTGTGCAAGCTGCAAATGCAGGATGGTGTGCTTCCGCACTGACGACAGTGTCCAGGCACCTGGGTCTGCTTGCGTGCTCCATGCCTGTCAGTGTTTAAGAGGCATTTGGACAATGCCCTTAATGACATGTTTTAACTTTTGGTCAGCCCTGAAGTGGTCAGGCAGTTGGACTAGATGATTGTTGTAGGTCCCTTCCAACTGAACTGTTCTAATCTAGTTTATTCAAAGAGCTTCCGGAAAGTGAGTTTTGCAGCAGACACTAGTATCAGCCTATGAAGCTCCACTGATTGTACTGCACTTTTTTAACAGATTTCAGAAAGGAAAAAGTAATACTAAGGGGGGAATGGTCTTCATTTAAGCCTTAACTCACTCCCAGCATTTGCAATGCAAAGAGCATACTCATACATTTTTAATGCTCTCTTTTCCATACATACCATAGCAGTGGCTTAGTAGAGATGGCTGTGTCCTAGAAATGAACTTGGGAGCTTGCTGGAGTTGTGTGCTCAGGTTTTCTGTGCAACTAACACAGTATTTCCAGGTCTGTGTTTCCTCCCCAAGTGTCTATATAATTTCAAGCACGACTTATAGTTTGGATATGTCATAAAACACTTCACATCTTTCCTTCATGTGATTGTTCTTGGAGAGTACAGTCTGCCTGCCCAACATTACTAAACCTCCAGGTGCCCACCATGGTCTTATATGGTGGACTTTGTGAAGGAACAATTCAAATGCCTTCAAATGCAATGATCAGAGAAGTGTGGGCTGATAGTTAAAACACCTAAATATATATAAACATGGTTTTCTCCTCCCTGCTTGGGAATCCTGGAGCATGCTATGTCAAGGAAGTTCTGTAGCAGGCAAGGCTCAGCACAGTCAAGTGTTGCTGAGAAATATCATCTTGCCTCTCCATAAGCTTCTCACAAGCTTTGCAAAGGCAAATGTCCTCTGTTGTGTGCAAAGAATAAACTGATGTCATCCACAGGGCCTTTCACAAGTCAGGCAAACCAATAAGCATATCAAGCAGAAGACTCTGAGAGGTCCTTGATCTTCTCATTGATCTGTTTAGAGCTGCTGGTCTTTCCCCAGTACCAGGTGACTCTCCAAAAGTCATGTACCCATGGTTCTCTCCTCAAACTACTCCTGCTTTTTCTAGATTATACAGCTGCCACAGAAAATCAAGATACATGAAGCAGTGAAACATGCCCCCCACACCTCCACCCCCCCCCACTACTTCACAGATCCCACTTCAGAAGAACAAGGCACAGGATCACAAAACCACAAACCCCACTGATACTCGTAGTTCCAGCTTCAGCATCTCTTCCCTACCTCAAATGCCAGTTTCTGAGCAATTCCTTGAAGAAAAAAATGCTTATGAGCCTGATTTGGGTACTTCCTGTCCAGGTGGTACCCTGATCTATCAGTCAGGAAACATTCCCACCAGTACCCTTCTTATCACACAAGGTTCAAGCAGACAAGCAAGGACATGGTCAAAAAGAGGTAAATGTAGTCTATAGATCTGTGCCTAATAGTCTCAGAAAGGCTTTTGGAGAACGCTTTTACCTTGGAAATTGAACAGAGGGGTTCTGACACAAATTTTCCTGTTTGTTGACAAACCCAAATGGACGGATGGATCATGGGAATCTGTCATCTGATTTAACTGAGATGATACATAATCTGCTACAAGAGAAATAACAGCTTGCCCAGCCATGGCAATGATATGACCAGTGCCCCATGCATCTTCTTTGTGATGACATATAACAATAGATTATGTCCAGAATACTTTATGAATATGAATCTGGCAGTAATACAATTTAATAGCATATTTACTGGACAGCAAAAAAACCCCAAAACCCAGAAATAATAATGTGTTAATATCAGGGCAAGGGATAGAGATTGGTATCTGTACGTGGGATCTGTCGTAGCACCATAGACAGAAGAACCCTGCTGCACACACTGAGGCTATCGCTGATACCTCCAAAACTTCCCAAAATACGAAAGCCACTTCTTAGTCTGATTTGTACTGTGTGACTGAGATGTACGTGCTCCCGATAGTGGGAACAGGCTTAGTCTTCCTTTAGAGAACCACACCTGTAGCAATCCAGTTGGTGACCTTGCTTGCTGCAGGTGAAGAGTACAAAAAAAAAAAAACCAAAGATCTCCTCATGGAGCTTTGTCCATGGAACTCAGACTCCTTTGGCCACCAGCTGTAAATCTCTGTGTTTAATGATATTGGCGTAACAAGCTGCAATAAGTCAGTAGTCTGTTTTCGTCACATATTCCATAGAAAAATGAATATTCAGGACTCAAAAAAATGAGGACAATATTTCCAGAAAAAAAGTCCAGCTATTTCTTTTCAACATCTTTAAATGCAAAGTTTGATTATTCAATTCCATATGGTATTTGACTGCTAAACTGAAATCAATGCTGTGAAAAACAATACTAACAAGAAAGTTCACAAACCAAGTATGAACGTTACAGAAAACACTTAAGCAGCTGCCCAAAATGAACCTACCTTGTTTCTTTCCTCCCCCACCTTATTATCAACTTACACTGATATAACTGCAGCACTGTTCAGTACACTGCAGACAGGACCTGGACAGCAGCAAGATCACTAGCTGCTTGCACAGACAGTTGCTAAGGGTAGTTTGTGGGCAGCAGTTGAATACCCTCCAGCAGTTCAGTTCATTGAACAAAAACCTACGGCATGTTTCTGCTTGCTGTTCAGCTGTCAATTCTGGCTACCGAAATATTTAAAATTCACACATTTTTGTCTCTTCAAATGTATTTTTTTGTTTAGTGTTTTTTTACTCAACTTACAGCAGATTTTGAGTAAAGTAGGTTTTTTTTTTTTAACGATATAGAAAAAGATATATATTCTTTAAAAGA